GAGGTCCCCCAAACCCCCCTAAGTGGCCTTCGGCAGCTTTTTAAAACACCAGAAAAAGTAAGCAGGAAAAAGTGCCCTTTATAGAAATAAAAAATTGAAAATAGTCCTGGACACCCCTTTTTCAAAAATCCTGGATCCGCCCCTGCACACACATGTATAAGCATGACTACTGCGCAAGCATATTTTTGATTTTCAGAAGTGTTGTTAGTCAAGAAATACACTTGTATACTTCTAGGACCTTATCTTATGTGTCTGAAATTTTAGCTGTAAACTGGATTATACCCGTGATCTGTGAAAAGAGCTTTATTTTCACTGTGAAATGTGAAAAGCAGTTTATTTTCACTGTGAACTGTGAACAGTACCACCCCTTACCCCCCCTCTTATGTGTAACAAGGTGGGTTAGGGTACGTCATACCATCATTGTTAATCATTCAAGGGTAGGATTGAATTATGCAAAAGTTGACACTATAGTAAAGAGGAGGTAGGATTATCCAATCACTTTTATTTGAACCTAGGGGAGATGAGTTGCGATGAAATGAGATCAGTTAATACCATGATTGTTACACTAGGTCGGGCGAAATGTTATCTCATCATTAATGGAAATAAATCACAGGGCTGTGTTCAATAGCTCATGCCGGCCATTATTGTTAGTTTATGATATAAGCTTATACCTCCGGCTATCAGTGTCAGAATTTATACTAGATGTGTCAGATAGCTGCTCAGGGCTCGCCAGTGGAGCACTACACTCCCAGCCCTCTGGTGTCAGATCTATACCCTCAGGACGGGACGGCGATCCAGCCCTTCTGAAAGAGATCCACATTATATAGTAGTAGAGTAAAAGTTATTATTTAGGAAATTATGCCAAAAATTATTTAGGAAGCGATCGAGTACGGTTAAAGGTTTAACACGAATATATTAAAAATCCATTATTAATGCCTCCAGTTTTTTTCAAAAGTAAAAGCATACGCATATAGCAATAAGCATACTTTAACTTAAACTAACTTTAAGTAAAAATATTTTAACTTACTGAGTTTGTTCTGTGTTACCAGTGTTTGCCATCCCATTTTCCTTGGTGAAACATGTTTCACTGTACCTGCAAAAGTAGCCAAACTTCAACACATGCTCGCTCGATTTCAATCTGTATGCACAATATGCAACAATAGAAATACAACTGAAACAACAATGAACCTCAATTAAATTATGCAACTAGCTTCATCCCTTTTTTAATTAAAAAAGTACTATTTCTTGTTTAATTATTGTAAACTTGTCATCAGTAATATCATTATATGGCCACCTCGTCGGCATACCCTCCTGGCGAAAATAGTTGCCTATTATATTCTACAGGTGGCGCTACCTGTTTGGACTCATGTCCTGTAGTGAAGAAGACGGACTCTCAGCAGTGTTAAGTAGGCACAGTTGCTCAGCCTCTGACAGCCTGTGTGGAGGCTTCCCAGGTCCAGCATGGGACAGAACCTAACGGCAGGAAATACAGTAGGCATGATTCATAGGCAACAAAAAAATACATGAATCAAGGGAACAGCCAGCATCTGTATATCCAATCAATTCGAAGAAACACGTGCGTGCCCATATAAACCGACAACACCGCTAGCAGGTTAATATTTCATGGCACTTTATGGCACCAGTAATTCAATATGACGGATAACTGCTACATATTTCCTCTCATAACAGTTCGAAGAAATGCTGTACTCGCAACAAAATGATGAAATTACGAACAAAAATTACGAGATTATAATTATTTCATGCGTCAGCTAAGACCCAGTAAAACAACAACAACAACAACAACAACAACAACAACAACAACAACAACAACAACAACAACAACAACAACAACAACAACAACAACAACAACGTTACAACGCACCTTTTCTAGGGCATTTAGTACTTGGTCTGGCATGTGGTCTTGCACCATCACGGGCGATATGAGCACTTCATCGAAGTCTGTGTTCTTTGCCCAGATCGCCTGGTAAACGGGTTCGGACTTGCCGCAGAGCGCACGCCTGTGACATGAGAGACATATCGTAAGAAACTGCGCGCACACACGGCATGAGCACACACGCACGCACGCACAAGCACGAACGTGCGGGCATAAAACCGAAAATCCGAAAAATCACGAAAATCCGAAAATTCTGAGTGCATCGGTAACGTGAGGCAATTATAATGTGAGGCAATTAAATTAACTCATAAAAGAACACATATTAACATCAGGAGTGTCATAACATCAGGAATGAATAATAATAGATTTATAGAATAAGAGATCTATTATTATTCACTTCTGATAATATATACGCGACATAACATATATGCTGATAACATATATACGGGACGCTCATGCAAAAGTATATGTGCACACACGCACGCACAGGCGCGAACGCACCGCCATACACACGCACACACGCACGCACAAACAGGCGTGCACGCACGCAGATACTTCGATGCAGCTTCAGTGAGCAGCCAGGCGAGGCGTGGCCCGCAGCGCGCGGCAGAGATAGCAATTAACAAAGTGTAGCGGCATTATTTCCGTTCATCTGCAGACAGACAGTGCAGCGTGTTTAATTAGGGTTAAATCGGATCCGCTGTTCGTTTCCTTGATTGGCATTGTCATTATCGCATGATTTATTCTCCGGTCTCCTCATAAACTTGTTCTAACGATCATCCTTCACGTCAGATAAAGCATCGCTATCGGATGAAATTACGCGTTGATAATTAACGCGACCAATGAGAAAAGATTTATTTGCATAATATATTATTAATCATTAGTTTTGTTTTATTAAACCTGAGATTTGAAAATTGCGAAGGGTAAATTAGAACAGGTTTGTATAAGAACTCTACTTGGATTACCAGGGCCGTAGCCTGGGGGGGGGGAACGTAACACGAAGAAAGCAAAGGTATACTCACTTCTGTAGCGGTACGTTGCGCAGTCGAGGTAGCACTCGTTCTGGTACGTGATCTCGTTGGTGCCGCACACTGGCTCGCTGAGATCCCCGCAGCGCTTTAAGCAGTCCTGCTCACACTCGGCGTGATAGTAGACGGTCAGGCCAGCATCTTAAAAATAAGTATAAATAAATATTAATAAGTAATAATATAGTAATTAAGATTACGATTATCTTCTTCTTCTTCTTCTTTTTTTCTTCTCCCCATTCCTCTTCTCCTTCATCATCATCATCGTCATCATCATCATCATCATCATCATCATCATTATGTTCGTCGTCGCCGGCGTCATCATCATCATCATCATCATCATCGTCATCTTATTCTTATTCTCTTATTTTTTCTTCTTTTCATCACTATAATTATTGTTGTTGTTGTTGTTTCCAGGCTACTGCTGCTAGTTAGTTTTCTACGATACTTTGGCAATGACTACCAATCTTCCAATCTTCAGCCATGACTGTCAACTGAATTCAACACTGAGCTGTTTATAATTACATAAATATACACTCACTAGCTATTACCCGTCCTCCAGACGGGTTTGACTGAGGTCTGATTTGAGGATGGCGGTTTAACCATTTATCTCTCACTTTTAGTTGAGGATGTATTTACAGTAAACGAAAAATACTGATATTTAAACTCGAGTCATATATCCATATTTTACCTTAAAATTACCGACAATTTTTCAAACAAAGGGAAATAGGGTGATTTCATGGTACAATTTCACTTATTTAGATATTATTTTTGAAAATATCATTCTGGTTAGAAGCATCATTAATAAGTCAAATTCTTAAAAAAAAAAGCAAAACGCATTGAGTAGTTTTGAAGAAGTCTATTTTCTTGAAAGTCAGTTGGCGGCGGCGGGCAGGGTTACACCTCCCGTTGTCGAATATTTGCACACACTCGCGCACACACACACATCACACACACGCGCGCACGCACGCACACACCGCATTCACACACACACAGGCGCGCACACACATACACGCACACGCACACGCACATGCACACGCACACACACACGCACACACAC